GTCTATAGATTCATTTGTTGCTTTTCCCTGCTGTTTCCACCCTGTGAAACATTCCCAATTCAAGAGCTGTGGCCAGAACTTCAAAAGAATTATGTGGAAGATGAAATACTCCGCCAATCTCATAATACTGTGTGAAAAATATTCAGATTTTCTTTTCTATCAAACAACTGTATCACTGTGGACTCTGAAGAACCAAAAGCACAAACAGAATTTGGAGGGGGCCAGGCAAAGCTGTAATGCTGGATGTAAGGCTTGTTGAAAGGTTCTGATTTGAATCAAGATGGAAAATTCCCCTGAGTTCAAGATTGAGAGGGAACCCGAGTGGTTTAGGCTCTCTCTGATTTTTAGACTTGCCTGTTATTTCAAACAATCGTTTAGTTATCCGAGGAATAGAAAATGGTCTTTTTTCTTTTTTTGACTTTAAGATACTGATTTACTACTTAAAAAGGAGCATTTGACATAGAAATTGTGGTACTCTGGTTATGTCATATTTATTCTCCTATTTTGAGAAGCACCATATAGAAAAAAAACAAACATACCTGAGATGAAGCAACTTGTGGCAGCAGGGGTAGGACTTTACATAGAACTAATGTAAAGAGCATTAAAAAGTCTTTTTTTTTTTTTTGCTTCCCCTTGAAAGGCTTTTGGAGATTGCTCCGTTTTTCTTGGCTTTTCTATACTATGCTGGCACAAACAATCCTACTGACTCTCAAGAATGAGGTGAGAGATTAGGTTTCTGTTTCTAGATTGACTGTAGCCTAAACATGCCCTTTGATAAGTCATAGCCTCTTTGTCATCATTTTTATGCAGCAACTTTTTCTCTCAACTGGCTTGGTGATTATCTTGCAGAGGCATCATCGGGTTTAATTTAATGTCTCTGCTCTCTGGATATAAAGTTGTAGTGCCATAAATAAGACTCTTATTTGATTAAGATAAACCTTATGCAAATGGAATTTAAGATTACCTTTTCCCTAGGTACATTCCTTTAGTGCTATATTTCAAATTATATTTACATGATGAAGCTCAGAAAAAAAAGGTGTTCAAACAAACCTCCTTGTTGAGAACTTAAAAATCCAAGTCTTGCAGAACGACAGTGTTGTAAAGGGTTCAAAGCTGCAATGCTGAAATTTGCTGGAGTTTATTGTATGGTTTTGGATCCAGCCTGAAAGCAGGCTTAGCCAGGTGTAAGCCAAAGATTGCCTGGGAGCCGCTGTGTGAGGTTCCTAACTCTGCACTGATACTATTCCAGAACAATTCTTTGTCCTTAAACTACTTCTCCCTGTAGCAGAGTAGCTGGGTGATTGCTATAGGGGAAAAAAATTACTCTTAAGCCCAGGTGAGTGCAGAACAGCTCAGGAACACGTTAAGTACCAACATCTTAATGTATTGGGCCCTTAGTCCTTGCACAGGATCTTCTTTTTTAAAGAAAGAGCTTATACCCCTATCTCATTTTAAATATAAGATGTGCTCAGGCCATGTGGTAATGGCAACTTGTAAATGCAAAAGCCAGATCATTTAGTGTGCGAGGGCTGTGCCAGGCTGCATGTGGAAGCCCTTAGACTTAGGAAGCAGGGAATAGTGTTGTACCAGCTGCGACCCCAGTTCTGAGGAAAACCTACCATGCCTTGACCTCATCTAAATTTGAGCCATTAATAGTGACTGCAGTACCTGCTCTGTCCTGTTTCAAATGTTTCTGGATCGTTATGCGCATAGATCATGCATGCGGGGTTAATAGTCAAATTATAGCACAGTTACCTAAAATAAAGCCACAGAGATGACAGTTCTCCTCGGTTGTCTTCTACTTCCTGCAGAAAGTTGTGCAAACAGTGCTTAGCCTGCAACATGAGGGAGTTGCTGCCAGAGTGTTGCTGTCTGCGAAGACAAGGTAACACAAATCAGGTGAACTTTCTCCAAAAGATTTTGCTGCGATTTAAATATAATTTTTGAGACTTGGGGAGTGCACTGGTCATTCCCCAGGAACGAGCCGGAATATCAGAGGTATCGGAGCAGTCACAACCAGCAAGTTCAAGTCAGATGCAAATCAGGCCAGAAGATGGCAGCCTTGATACGTGCCAGGAACATGCCCCCAAATTTATTGCTTTTTCCAGAGCTGTCAGGGTAAAGATTATCTTTGCTCCTCACTTTGAAGAGATAGTAATATATAGATAAATGTTAACAAAATAATCACGGGTTTTTTTTTGTCCCTTGCCATCTAGTGCAAATAGATGAAAAAAATGCACTTGTGTCTAAATATTGGATTCAGCAGTATAATCTGGTGATGATTTAAGACCAAAATTTTGAAATTCAGCCCTCTTGTTCAGAAGTCATTAGAGTACTGAAAGACTAGAGAGATGCTTACATGTCACTGCATGTTACACTGGCATCTGTAAGCTGCTCTGAGAACTAAAAATCCCTTTGTATTTAGCTTTATGATCAGGCTTTATTCGAGCTTAAATCTTAAAAATACTTGAGTCTTTGTTTAGGTGTCACTCCTTTCTTGCCCATATGGTGCTCAAAGTAGCAGGATTGAACAGCTGCTATTTTGTGCTGAATACTGGAGAATTCTATACCAGAGCTGGTAAATAAACAAGGAATTTAAGTACCCTTTTTTCCCYTGAACTTGGTTTGTAGCGTTTGGATTCTATATTTCTGCTTCCATCAGCAGGTGGAAATAGRCACCAGAGAAAGAAGATTTTTTTCACAGAGCAGCTCCTTTTATCTCCTAGTTGTTGCAGGTAAAAGCATGCACATGGAGAGCTGCTACAGAGCAGCTCTGCAATGATATTTTTCATACTTGCCTGCATGGTGATAACTTGCTTACAACTTTAAGAAGTTAGAAGAGTTCATTAAATGCTCCTCTAGTGCTAGAGGGCTGTGTATTAGCTCACACTGATGTTGCATGGACAGATGTAGCTGAAAGCTGAGGGACGTGCGTCATTTGCATCCTTTTAACTTTTGCAGAGAAATCACTGAAGTGATTTTGAGCTGAATCTAACAAATTGGAGATTGATTTTCCTTGCTCTTCTGTCACAGTTTCTACCTTTTTCTTTGTTTTCTTCTATTCTTTACCCTTGTAGTAAGGGTAGTCTAATCAGGGGTGAAACTAGTGGCTCATACCTTCTTTCAGAGGCCGGTGTTGACAGACATCAAAAGACGACGTTGAGAGGAAGGTACACATGTCGCAGCAAATAAGGTAACAAGCTGCAGGTTCAGGTGCACAGGGAAAATGTCACTGTTCAGCCTGACGTTGGCAGTGGCTGCTTGCAGCTTTTTTAGCCCCAGCGGTGCCCTATGGAGCCAATCTTGACGGAGGAACCTGGGTGACACGAGCATTCATTGCCTCTCCTAGCTGCACAGCATAATCACTTTGTGGTGGTGGTGTTTTGTTCTTGTGCAGCCRGAGATTTCCTTGTAGCTCAGATTCAAATGGGAGGAACATCAAAGCTAATCTGAAACAAAATGTACCCCAAGTAGTTTGAGGGAAATAGARCCATTACTTTGTAGTCACCCTTCTGGTGCCAAAACGGGAACGTGGTAGATGTCAGGAAGCCACGCTGGGCTCTTTGTACCCCCTTGCTTGAATAGATTGTTTTCATCTGAGCCTTTTTAAAGTTTTCCTCCTGCCTCGGTATTTTTAAGGAATAGAAAACTAATATAAGGACATGGAGTGTTATGAAGCATGAAGTTCTATAAATATTTATGCTGAACTATTGCAAAACTTGACAGGTCTTATTTTCTTGACATATTGGGGTCATTTGTTATTTTTGACCCTGAGAATTGAGGAGCACATGGAGTTATATCTGTTTGTAATGACTCTGGGATATTGTTGTCTAGTAAACTTATAAGAATGTAACAGGGTAACAGACTTTCTTAGTCTCTTCATGAATATAAAACTTAAACTTTGTGCTAAGCTATGGACAAATGATCGTTTGGGTTACCAGTAGCACTTGGGTATCTCCAGACTGGCAGTGAGTTTCTAAACTTAAACTGCCTGTGGTACATGTGAACTTAGGAGTTAGAGGCTTAACTTGCCACTTCAGACCTAGAGATTCCATTTGTCTTGCTCATGATTGTAAGTACATGCAATTAATTTCACTTCTAGAGACCCGTTTCAGCACAGTGTGTTCCTGAGCCTCGCACAGGATGGAGCTGAACAAGGCTGAAAGTTGATTCCTGTTTTGCYACCTGTCCCGATATCATTTGATGTAGCTCTGGGGCCAACCAGAGACAAGGAGCTCCTTCTGCTGCTTGTTTACCAGCCCTTAAATGCATTTTTAGAGGGGTGAAAGGCTCACAACTCTCCCACACCTCAGAGTCCTCATTCCTTAGGACCATGTGCCTTAACTCTGATCTCAAACTGTGATGACAGGTGAACATTTTTAATACCAGGTCTACCTTTTTCTTTTTTTCTGCAAAACTAGAATGCATTTTTGTAGATTTCAACAGCAAGCACTTTTCTTCCATAGCAAATACATGGAATAAAAAAAGAGTCAGTCTGATCCTTCCTCTTCAACTGAAATTTGATGTGAGTTTAAAGAGAAGCCTTGAATATCTTGTGCTAATGGGAATGTCTCTCGGTGTTGGTCACTAGAGGGCACAGCAGAACTGTATAGGAAATACATTTTTTGGTCCCAAGTCCTCATCTTCCGTTTTCGATCTCTATAGTTGGGAGAAAATTCCTGTGGCTGCCAAAGGGAAGGATGGCTTCAAAATGTTGACTTGATCGGTGATTTCATCASCCAAATGCATTTCTGCTTTGGAAGATAAAACTGAAGCATTAATTGTAAGGCTGCTGCTGCTTTTCTGTTAGTAAAACCTTGGATTTAGAAAGCACTCAGTTCCRAGAGCAAGATGTTTAGGTTGTAAAATCAACTCATAAGTACACAAATTGATTCCTGATTCTCAGATTTCTATACATGTAACGATCTCCTAATCTGTTAACTGTATGAAGAATAAAGAAGCAAAGGGAATTTCTGTCTGAACATACGGTTCTCTTACAGGTCGCATGCCTCGTACGGGTCCCATCTGAAGTCATCAAGCAAAGGGCCCAAGTTTCTCCTTCCTCTAGCACCTTTCGGATCCTCTCCCAAACTTTATATCATGAGGTAAGTTCACAGCAAAGTTTCAGACAAGTTACTTTATTCTTCCCTCAGTATCATATGTGTCCGGAAACATTCCTAGAACTTAATTGTAATTCTGTTATGTCCCAGCACTTTTTCATCAATTCTTTCATTGCAAATGACAGCTATTGTGATAGCTGCCCAAGAAGGTTCCTCTTTTTTTTTCTGTGATTTGGTCATTGTGCTGTCAGAATGAACAGGAATGAACAGAATGAATGGGAGAATGTTGTCAGAAGACAGGAGAAACTGTCTTTGAAAATGTTCATCCAGATTTTATACACAGATAATTAAGGGGAACACAAAGCCCATTTAAAATATTTTAAATGTTATAGTGTAGTTTAATAACAAAAATGAGTCTGTCTTGGTAAAAAGCTCTAAATCAARGCTAAGAAGCTACACACATGATTAAGCTGTCATCATACATATTCTTTTTGCTACTTAAGCAGATGTGTAGTAGTTTCAAGATATGCACACATTTAGCAGGCAATTGTAAATAATATTTCTATGCTTCCTTGCCTTTTTATTTCTAAATAATAGATATATTTTCTTCTCAATGTGACTCCATAATTGATTATTCTGAACAGTGGTTAAATTCTTCTAAACAAAGATGAAACCTTCTGGCATCGTAATTCATGGAATGGAGTATATAGGGCTATAATCAATGTAGTCGATTTGTTAAAAGTTCAGGTCTGACCCTTAGTAAGCCTGTAATGCTTGCCTTGTGATAACCAATAAATTGTGGCCTTTGGCAAGATAATTCCYTATAGCTGATACCTTCTTTTGTTGGTTTACAGGGTATTCAAGGACTTTATCGGGGATATAAAAGCACAGTATTAAGAGAGGTAAAACAGTTTTTGKCTTTGAAATTGATTGCTTTTGCTTCATCTTGTGTGTGTTTTCTAACAAGATACAGAAGTGGTACAAYTGAGATTAATTGCTATAACCACATGCTTTAAATACTGGCATGTTTCATTCTAGGTTTAAAATATCAGTCTACAATTTAAGAGTACTGTAATGTGCACTAAAWACCTGATATGTGCAAAAAGTCATCTACTTTCCTATCTCTCTGTTGCTGCTGTATCTTGAGAGCACGTGCATATTAACATGGCACGTGTACATTAACATGGTAAATATAAAACAAAACACTGGAAACTTGCTCAAGTCTTGTGATGGCATCACATGAGGTGTGTATTCTAACAGTGGTGAACCAAGTTTGACACAGATTTGGGTTTTCTTTAAGTACGTTTGTCAGCAGATGCTAAGAGGTTATTTATCRTCTGTATCTAAGGAGAATTGTGTCATTTCCCCCACTCTTAAAGAAATGTGGGCAAAATGCATTTAGTTATCCAGTCTCTGATATGATGTGATGCGAACTTAACCTAAATCAGAAGTACCTAAGTTGGAAAAATATGAAGCTAAATATGTTTGGGTTTGCAGAAAATATTTCCTAAGCTAAAATCTCTTTGTAAACATACTGASAATTTCAGCATTAGTGTCGTGGAAATGTTTGATGTTTCGTGTGGAGAGTATAAAAGGAGTGGAAAAAGCACCTTGGTGGGAGTTRGTGATCCTGGATTGTTCCCATTGAGTCCTGCAGATGAGCAGAGGGGCTGATATAGGGTCTGATTTAGCCCTAAGAATGCTTATTCTTAGTGCTCCTCTAAAGCAAATGAGACTGGCAGCTGAGGTGAGCCTGAGGCAATCATGATTCAGGCCAACAGCCTTGGCAGGTCCGACTTCTGGATCTTTAGGACATCTGGGCAGCTTCTTGAAATTTTTATTTTTATTTATTTGCRTATTGGGTTTCTTCAATGGCTTCTTTGAAACATCAAACTTTTTGGATATTCTCTTTAAGTGTAAAACCTGTCCTGACATTAACMCTCCTGTAAAGAGTGTTTGATCTTTTCTGAACTCTTTCAGATTAGCCAGCACATGGAAAGATTTCTTTTTCCTTTAACCTACGCTGATAAATTCCCAATCCAAATCTTTACTTCAGAATCAAACCCCAGGCCTTGTCATTTAACAATGCAGAAGCTGAACCACGAGTGCTTCAGATAGAGACAAGGCTTGATTCCTATGAGAACATATCAGCTCCCGTCCAGAAAGGTTTCTTCGCTTCCTGTGCTCAACATGATGTGCGTGGGTTTGTTCCCCTATATAACACAGCTGAGTAAATTAGATTTGGATCTTTTTAAACACAAGATCAGATCTGTTGACTGTGCTACCATTGTGATAATAATGCTAGTTTTAGAGGCTTTTTAAGCCCTTCATTCAGTAGTTACTTCCTTTAAAAAACTTTTTTTTCCACACTGAAAACTCTCTTAAGGACAGTCATGTTAGCCAGCTCCTGTTACAATACAGGATAAAGACAGATATTGCCTAAAATAAGAAATCTCATATTTAGTGTTACTTGAAATGCTGACAAATGACAATACACTGGAGTTTATTTCAGAGGTTGTGAATATTTCAAAAATCAGTTATTTGTGCAGAGATGACACCTGCTTTTCTGAAATGTAGCCCCTGCCATAACTTCATCCTGTATTTATTTTCTGGCTCACTAAACACATGTTATTCACTCAAATTTCATTTGGAGATGGGCAAAAAAGGCCAACAAGTCATTTTGATTTCTCTGAAGGGTTCTGAATAAATGAATAAATTTAGATGTCATTGAATACAGATTTTGCATACTAACAGATAGATAAAACACATGGTTCAACTGGGTGCTATCCCCTTAAAATTTGTTTTGACATATGTCAGGATGGTAATTAATTTGCAGACCAGATTCATARCACAGTGTGTGACCCTGCTGAGATAACTTTGTTTACTCAAAATGGCAGCACTTTGTTGGGAATTTAATTGGGGTCCTCTCCATTATGTATATTCATAAAAATCCTTCAGAACTCATTTCAGTTGAAGTATTGCTTTTTTGGGAGAATCTGTCCAATGGAATGAGAAATAATGACTACCAAATGAAATGTGCTTTCTCTTCAAAATGAAACAAATCACAGTTGATGTTAAATTCGCAAAGATGTTTCTTTTTTAATCACCACGTTAAGATTGTTGCATTTTCTGACACTAAGTGTCGTAGAGCAGTAATCCAATTGAGTAAGATCAGGATATGGAACCTCCGGCTGGAACTGTTGTAAGCCTGACCTTTAATATTGTTATTTTTTTCTCTTTAAATGCACTTCTATAGGGGAAATCTTTATTTTCAGWGAAAAATCCATACTAGTTCATTACTGGACACTTCCAGGTAGCTGTGTGGCATAGGTACTCAAGGACTTAATTCAAACTGAATTTTATGCTTATAGAGTTTGTTTGCATGCTTCATTTCTTTGCTCACAGAAGAAAATTTATTTAGTTACAGTGGAGTGGGTTTTTGGTTAGAAGGGCTTCAATGCATGGTTTCTCATTTAAAAAAAAGAGCTGGGAAGCAGGAGTCAGTGAATAGGGTTCCTTTTAGGAAGTGATATTCTTGCATTAATGAAATACTTAAGCCAGAAGTTTAAAGAAAAAGGTTAATTTTTATCTGTTACAGAAGARTAAAACTTTGCATATGGCACCAAATATATGTCAGGATCTGAACAGAGCTCTGCTTGCCAGTTGCCTGGCCTTATKTGAAAATGCATCTGGCTGTTAATAAAGGGAGTGAAGTCTTTGAAATCTCTTCTTGCTTTAGCACAATAATCTTTTCAAGGCGGCCTTATTTGGCTCTCTTTAATTTGCATTAACCACTTTGATGCGAGGGAGTTGTGTAGCCCTTCATTTATTTATTTTTTTCTGTTCTTTCCCTTATTTTCTGATCAATGTGCTTTCTGCAAAGATGGATATTAGGAGAGGAAGAAGATGATTGAATATGTACTGTTTTTTGGAAATATCTGAGTGACCTTCAGTGGAGATGTAAAACTTGGGTCAGGCTTAGAAGTCTTGGCTATGGCTTTTCCTCCCACTGCCCTTTTGATGCCTTCTCTCTGACAGTCTCCATTGCTGTGGGTCTTTACATCTTCCTGTGACATCAGCTACTCCAAACTAATGCTTAAAAATTGAAGGGAGACAAAGTGCATTATGCAGTTGACAGTAGCAGCTTGAAAGAGACGCCTGTGCTCCAAGAGGAGAACTTTGGTGATGAAGCAAAAAGAGTCTGGTCCTGAAATTGCTGAATGAGACTTGAAATAAATGGCAGAAACTGGAGGCTGTGAAAAGATGAGGAATTCCCATGATATTATTTCCAAGGTAAATCCAAGTGAGAGTCATCCTTTCCTGTGATAGCAGTGTGCCAGTGTACACCAGTGAGGACACTGGGTGATGCTGTTTAGAGCAGTCAATAGACAGGTAAAATTATGCTTGTTCTCCATAAGACAGAGAAGTTTATTTGTAAAATCTCTATACATCTTAGCTAGACAGAAGTAGACTGTAAATCCACTGTAAATCCTATAGAATTTCTTAATGGGAATGCAGTTCTTCTGCTGAGACTTTATATAAGCAAATGGAGCCAGATTTTTAATTCCTGCATAATTCATTTTATTAACTATGACCAAGTAGAACATCTGTTAAAATTCCATAATGTTAAGTTCATGGGAAAAAGAGAGAAACTCCTGCCTTCTCTTTGGATTTTTTTCCATTTCCATTAACATTRCAGGACTCTAACAGATGTCTTAAAGGGCATTATTATTAATGAGAAGACAACCTAGAAGAAAAAGTAGTGCCTTGTGCGGTTTCCCTGAGCACAATGGCTCGCTGTGCAGTGAGATGCTTCAGCTCTCCGCAGGTCTGAGTGCAGGTTTCGGCTTCATAGCACAGGGCCACCCTGTCCTGCCTGTCAGGGGCTACTGTAGA